CACATAAAACCCTGTGAGTGGAAGGCTGCCGGCCCCCTTGTCAGAGGTAATTTCTCCAGGCTCTGCATGGGATTTAACGGGAGCCATATGGTTAAGTCCGTCAACCCTCCCAGAAAGCACCCCCGAAGGGCCCTCGTAAATGTGCTCGGGGCTGTGAAAGATCCAGCAACTTTCTAACAATAAAGCCACGTTCATAGGCGTGAGATGCAGCAAAACACAAAGCAGGAAATAATGGCTTCTGGCCTGAATTACTCAAAGGGGGCTTCAAGCTGTCCTGGAGATGGGCGGGGCTGGTGGTGGGGCCCTGATAACCGGGGACCTGCTGGTTGCAGCCTCCAGCAGGAACAAGGCTGGCCTGGACGCTGCTAGCAGTGGCCCAGGGTGGGAAGTGGCAGTCTTAATCCTGCTCGGTTGGTTCGTAGACTTTAAGAAAACTCTTACTAATGGGTTTATTCACATACACATTTACAGAGCAAGTACATTCTTAAACTGGAAGCCGCTTGGTCACCCAAATTTTCTTTAAGTTGTGCCTTTCTGTGATGGCATTATTTATCGACCTCTCTCCCTTTTTCTTTTCAGAGCAACAAAGACCCTTGAATCAATTAACATTCCCATCTCGACGGACACTTGAAGCGGCTACAGCAACTCGTACAACAAAGCCATGCGACTCTCCCCGAGAGGCAAGGTGGCATCGCTTTCTACACCAACAAGTTCTGAGATGTAATAAGCTCTTCTTTCACCATCATCATCATCATCATCATGATCCAATTTATGATGAGTATCAGCTCCTTTTTATTTTTACATAAAACAAGATTTGCTTCTACAATATCTTATATAAATTTCTGGCAAAGTCTTGGATCTGTATTGCCTAACCACAGCTTCATGCAAATGGGGTTTATGACCAAATAGCTAATATAGCTGCACATCACACAAGCATTTATGTGCCAGGACTGAAACTGGCATAAAGTCGGGGAGAGGTTTCATATATACATGCTGTTGAACATATTTTCAAGTTTCCTGATATCTTAACTAGAATATTCTACAATGGACCAGATACCTTCTGTTAAATATCCGCCTTGGTAGGAACAATTGTACCTTCTGATGTTACATGTATCACACCTCCATTGTAAACAATTATTGTCAAATAATTTTCACCGATAATCTAATAAGCATATGTATTTGCTGAATTCCATACAGAGAACTAAGTCTATTGAATATTTTGAACACAGGAAGAAAATCTGTGGAATATTTTGGCCATGCTGTCCCATAACCTGCCAGAACTCTGTACTGATATCCATTCTTGTAGAACTCCACTGTCTACATGAGTTTCATTGTTTCCCTGAAGAATTAGTGAGCATGAATTATCCTATAACATTAACTCCATAGAGAGAAATAGGTTTCTTTAGGAAAGCTGAGATCCTTTAAGATTATAGCCACTCACTCAATTGATTACTGACTCCTATAAAAATGTCTCATATAAGGAAAGAGAGACAGAGAGACAGAAAGAGAGAGAGACAAAGAGAGAAAGACAGAGAGAGAAAGAATGAAAGAAAGAGGAAGAAAGAATTTACATGACTGATACCTGCTCATCCACTATTTTCCCCAGGTTTTGCCAGACTTGATCCTGAATTAATGAGCCTGTTACATGGTATCTAATAAAAATGACCCGAGCAGAGATACTGCTTGGAATCTGCTACATATTTGGTCCAAAGCTGAATCGATTTCCTCTCTATTTAACACATGCTTGTTTTCTGTCTCACTTGTCTCCCCCATAGCCCATGCCTCACTCCTTTTTTTTTTTTTTCCATCTGGAAAACTTATCTCCTAAAATGCTACCATCAATCAGCCAAAGACACTCTTCCCGACAGAGCGTCTGCCAGTTTGACTAAGCGCAAGTAGTCACTAGTTTGGGGATGCCTCCCACACTCCAGCGCTGTGTGTTTTTCTAGCCTGCCTAACCGCACGAGTGCAATTTGGGATATTTATACTTACTTTCCAGTTTCCATTGGGATAAAAGCGCTACTTGGACAGACCTGGGCAGGGACATGGTAGGGGGTGAGATAGGATAGAATAAAAGTTGCCCGTGCGGATTGTCTACCTACTTTTAACCTTATTTCTTCGGATTTTTGCATTACCACCCATTTTGTTTTACTTTGGTTCAGTGCCGGTTCCAAAAGTAGGAAAATCAAATGCTCGCAAGGATGTAGACCCTTTGTCCCCCAAATCTTCCCTGAGAACAGACGCCGTTCTCTCCGAGTCCTTTCATGTCAATACACTCCCAATACGTCCAAACCTCTAGGTTTAAATACAGATGAAAGGAGGGGGCAGAAAGGATAGCAAAAGTGGGATCGGCAGCAGATACCCAGCAATGGTAGAAGGGAAGGCAAAGGGGAACGAGAGACAGGCGGCCCCCTCCGCCTGCCACAGACTTCCAGTCGCTGCACCCACGGGCCGCAGCAAAAGAGCCCTGTGCGTGGGCACAGGTGGGTCCCAGCCTCTCTGGCTGGATGCAGCTTTAAGCGCTGAGCCTGAATGAAGACTTTCATTGCTGTTTTGCTGTTTTTGTTGGCCAGTAGCCATGGCAAACATTTGCAGGTGGCTTGGCCAGATTTTGACACTTAAATATTTGAGGTTGTGATAAAAATCAGAATATTACTACAATATGGTTCTGTGCAGCCTCAGAAAGGAAAAAAAAAAGAAAGAAAGAAAACTATCTGCAATTTCAAATGCTCATTTAAAGACACAGTCTCCAGAGGGAACTCATGTTTTAAAATAAGTACTCATTTCCTCTTTGCTGAGAGAAATAAAAGAGTCAACCATCCCCAAATGTTACCACCTAGAGTTTCATTCTGAATCCACTGGTGAGATGGGTTGGGTTGTTCCTTGCTGAGCCCCCACGATCATCCGGGCAAGGTTTTGGATGGGTCACATGGAGCAAATGAAAATGACAGGATGTGGGGGTTGGAATCAACATGGGAAGCACGACAGGGAAGGATCTGAACCAAAGAAACAGCCTCCCTCAAGCTTGGCAACGAGACAGAGTCCTAAAAGTGACAATTATCTCCTAGAACACACCAGGAGAGACAGCTAACACCCCAGGATCGGGAATAAATGGTTGGATGGAGTGGGTCGGGAGGTCACATGCACCAGAGGAACACCCCCACCTGTCCGGGCAGAGTGACACAGTCTGGAAATGTCACCCAGCTGTACAGCCCTGGGCCAGCTGGGTAAATTATTGACAGAGTCAACACCCATCTCAGAATTTCGTGCTAACCCTTAAAAGATTGTTTCACAAAAACCAGCGTTGTACCAACAATGGCCAAATACTGAGGGCCTCCAAGAGGGGAGTTGCTGTAGGGGGAGGCAAAAGAACTCCAGCAGAGAAGGAATGCTGTAAAACTGCTAGTAAACTCTAGCCCATTTTATGTTTTTTTTTTCCCCTTGAAAGAAAAATAAAATCATTATAATTAGCCGGCCTGACTGTGAATTGTTTGCCCAACGCCAAGCCACTAGAGCGAAGGAGTCCCTTGCGATTTAGATGCTGTCTTTCATGACCCCACCCTCTTAGCATATTAGAGGGTCTTGCTTTAGATGGTGGCAACACTTGCTCCCATGGTCATTTGAGAAGAAAAGAAATCTTTAGCAGAGACACTTGCGAATTTGGGTTTGGCTCCTTCCAACAAAGCCAAGCATTCAAATGGCCAGATGACTTTTCTGTTTGTTGTTTGAATGAGAAACCAAAGGTACCCATGGCAAACTCACAAAACAGTCATTACCCACAATGCTCATTTATTACAGTTTGCTTCACATGTCGCAACCCATCCTGATGAGCTGAGAAGTGTGAGAGACAAGGTACCCTTTCTAGAGCATTCTAAGAAGGAATAAGCCCTTGTCCCTAGTGCTTCCGCTCGGTGTGGAATTCCTATAAGCATTTAAAACAACGGGAGGGAAAGACACATTGGCACACAGTGGGACAGCTTCTAATTCTTTAAATCATGGTATCTAATATTCAACCAAATATTCAAACTCAATTCTGATGCATATACCAAACACAGCAAGCTCCCTTTCCTATTTTAAACAGAATTCCGGGAATGGAGAGCAAGCAGTTCTCAGCATCCAGCAGTGTAAATTTATCATAGCTCTTTGGCTTAAGTTACTACCACTTCTTCCTAAGATCTCAAGCACTCCTAAATCTTTTATTTCCTTTTCACACTACTGTTGCGAGGGTGGAAAGGAGAGACACCATCCCCATCCTGGAGAGGAGGACTTTGGGCTAGAGATGCTGCTTTTCTAAGACACTCCTAGGCAACGCCCATGCTGCCGGTCCTCAGACCACACTGAGTAACAAGGGGCTAGAGCTGTCAGATGACACTCAGGAGTGAGGGCTCTTTCCATCCTGTAATACACAGTGTCTGGGACCATTCTACCAATTTTTTTTCAACGTTGTCAGTATTGTCATCTTTACATAAATGAGAGAGATAGGGCCTGCTTTCTTTGTTCTGTCTGCTCCAGGAATGAGTATGGACCAATGCAGAAAGAGAGGAGAGCAAATAAGGAGGCATTAACAAGGAAGACAAGCAAAGAAGAATGATCAGAGAGAAGGAGAACTGTGGAAATACACCCGAGACACAGGTGATGGGCTTAGATCTTAGGAATAGAGGGACTGTGAAACTTCCCTCCGCCATCCTCAAGCATTTGTCCTGAGAACTCTGCTCTGTTCTTAGCATCCATGGGGTTTCCCCACAGTCATCTTAAAGTTCAAGAATCTTGTTTGATGAAACAATGACACAGAATGACTGGCTCTTCTCCCCAAAGTCAGGATCAAAGAGCTTCCACCAAACAGAGACTCCTTTTCCCTTCTCCCATCAAAAATATCACTCTGAGCTCTAAGCAATACCACACCAGCCAAGAAAACCAAATTCTGTCTTATCCAACCTGAGTACCAGAACAATCCCTGAGCTCCAGCCAGGACCCAGAGACAGCCAAGGAGGTCTCCTTACCCGATCTGGCGGTTGGTGGAAGGTGCCTGCGTGATGACAGAGCTGGACTGGGGTGACGGCATGGCTTGCTGAATCACAACGCTGGTGTCGTGGTTGGGCATCCGGGTGCTGCCAAGCTGGTGAGCTCCAGGCCCCGCCATGGCCCCACCAACAGTGTTATGCATCGAGATATTCTGCCCAGAGAAGACAGAGGGGACAGGGTCAGAAGAAGTTAAAGCTTTATGCTCCTCTCAAACTCTACAAAGCCGAAATTGTGAATCTGGTCACGTCAACTCAATACAGAGTTATGGCTTCTGGCAAGCCATGGGTCCATTCAATTTGTTCCAACTGACAGCTACGAGGAGATGATAACTATTCACCTGAAGAGTAAAGCATGTAAGAAAATACCTGGAAGTTTACCAGTCACCCTGCTGTCATCCTGATGTGAGGCTGACATCGGGGATGGTTAGCGCATCTTTACTCTGACTTGGTGTGATATATACTGCATTTGAAAATGATTTCTGTGGTAAGTACATAATACTGTGATTTGGTGAAGAGCCATTCAGCCCCCTGCTTTAAATGACAAGCACACCTGTTATTTTTTTTCTTTTTCAGTCCTATAAGAGTGGCCAACCACCTTTTTTTTCCCCCCAGGAAACCACTTTCCAAATCATCATCTGGGTACTCACAACCCAAGCTCAACAACCTAGGGAATGAGGATGAATGCCTGGAATAAATGACAGGGTGCTTAGGACCCAGAGACAAGAGGGAGAGTTACAACCCTGCTGTATTTCCATAAAATCAGTCTCTCACAGTTGTATGGAATAATGGGATACAGATAACAATTGCTCGTCTGCCTACTTGTTCATTGTCTTTTTCTCTGGAATTTAGAATGTCTGTGTCCATGACTCTCCGTTGGTGCTTGAGGCATAGTAGGCGTTCAGGAAACATGCAGTGCACAAGTAAAGTAATGAATTAAAAATGAGACGACTGAGTCACCCAAGAGACCTAATATCATGTATTTATTTCTGATGACTTGGATAAAGCCTTCTTTGTTTAATATTCAAAAGTATTGTTACATGTGCATGACAAAGCTGGCTTAAAAGACAGCTCTTCCTAGAAAAGAAAGTCACTGGGACAACAAGAGAGGATTCACAGGGAGGCAGAAGAGGGCTGATCTGGCGGAGGGCACAGCTCAGCAGTAGTGCGTCCTCAGCATGCACCTGGGTTCAATACCCAGTACCTCCACTAAAGATAAAATAAAATAAAAAATTAATTAAAAATACACAAAGAAACCTATTACTCACCTCACCAAAAAAAAAACAAAACAAAAACAAGAAACCCCCCCAAAAACAGAAGAGGGCTGATCACCATGGCAGGGCTGAAACATGAGAAATTCAGGACCTCGAAAAGAAAAAGAAAAGTGCAGAGCAAAGCATCATAAGTATGTGGACCTCTCTAAACAGCCAGGTACGGCTCTTCAGCCTAGAAGGGTAGGGAGATCTGAGAGGTCAGCTGGACAATGGGTTGAAGATGACAGGAAAGAAATGGAGTGTCACTAGAAATTTACTAGAGGCAAAATATATATCTGTCTGCACTCTGGGGTTAGCAAAGAAAAACATAAATGTTACCCAGGAGTACTAGAAGTGATGCTTTGAAGTTCTTCTGCAAAGAACAGGATTTCCTGCACTACGTGTTAAATGATGGTGATAACATATATGGTATTTGGGGTGGCTGTGTCCATCACATGGCGCCTTTCCCAGGTTTCTGATTCCTAAATCCTGACCACACAGTCTGTCAGGAGTCCAGATGGAAACTGGGCACCTGGCTTAGACTGTGAGCCGACTGTGTTGTCGTGGGATCCCAAAGGCATGAACAGGCTTATACACACACATGATCCAAAGGCTCCTCTTATATCCTGGAAGGTTTTTCAGACACGAGAAAATATTGTGGCTGGTTAAGGTAAGATGAAAGGAAATGGTGATCTGTATCGGGGTGGCAACGCAGGGATGTGCTTGAGTTCTTTTTATAGGCTCTAGAGGCAGAGAGAGTCAAACGATAAGCAATAATGGAAATAAATATAATCATTATTTCTTTTGAAAGTGCACCTTAACAAACTTATTGCCCTAGGTCTTAATGAGATTGTGATGAAGTAAATAATTATAAGTATCATTTTCCCATTGTTTGGATCCTTAAAAATATTCAAACATTTTCATCTTGCTCACAGTCATCTATTTTGTCAGTAATAAATTTGAGGCACAGAAAGATTCCTGACTCTCTTTTGGGAATTATTTCTGTTGTGCTGTGCTAGTGAAAGGTATCAATAGAGCTATGCAGTTTTAAAAATAATAATCTTCTCATTCGTGAAGAAAATGTATGAACCCTCCTTGCGTTACTTTTGACACCTCTTTTCTTCACCCCACCGTGTAGTCCCACATACTATAAATTCAGTGTAAGCAGCCTTCTTTTCTTTTTATCTTTCCATCTCTTCTCCCACCAACTTACACCCAGCCACAGTCACCTTCGTTCCTGGACCAGACAGTGGTCTCCTAACTGGCCTCCTGTCACTCAGTTTCACCTTCTTTCCCCCTCTTTCCCCTACTGAAGCCACAGTTCAAAAGGCAAAACTGACCACAGTGCACACAGATCTGCCTACGTTGTCCACCGTCCCCATGCTTCTTAGACGGCTGCATGGTTCAGAAGACACTGACAGCACTGTGTGTGTGACCTCCAAGGCCTGGATGACCCCCTCCCTCCCTCCCCAGCTCATCTTACACCTCCTTCCCTCTTGCTCTCGGTGATTCACTCCACTTCACTGGATTCTCCTGTTCTCAGAGCGAACATTCTCCATCTCAGCACAGAGCCTGCTACCTGTGCTCCTCTCCTGAGTCCACTGTCAAATCTCTATTTAGGATCACGTGAGGAAGCCTTCCTTGACCTCTCCAGTGATGGGCACCATCTCCCCCTCCTTCATAGCACTTTTCGTAAGTTTATACTTGTTTTCAATTATTTGATCAATATCTGTTTCTCCTCCTAGAACATAAGCACAATGAGAAAAGGGACTAAATCCGACTTTACTCCCCACTGAGCGTCCATTGCCTAGGCAGTGCCCGGCATATAGCAGGCACCCAGTAAACATGGAGAGAATGAGTAAGACATCAAATGACATTCCTACAATATTCAGCGTGGTGAAATCTCATCTTTTATTTCCTGGGCAGTTTTTGAGAACGCTAACTTTCTGTCTATTTACTCTGAAATCTCAAGGTAGGCTCACGGTGCTAAGATATGTTAGACATTAAGGTACTTGTTTGATTACGGGCTAGAGAAACAGAATCAGAATTAAGAAGAAAGCCACAACCATGGAACATCAATTGGAAAGTAAAGCCTTTGGGAAAATATTAAATGAGGGCTTGGAGGAAGATATCAAGAAATGAGTCAAGTCTTTGAGCACTTTGGCTCAAATGATATCCACAACTAGTCTTTATCTCCACCATGAAAATCAAGAAAAATTGACTTTGCAAAGCAATCGGTTTGATTTCTTCAGAATAAAAGCATGTTAAATGAGAGAAAGAAGTCCCTCTCCTCCCCAAAAGCTTAAGAATCTTCTCTGAGAATCATTAAAAATAATAATAAAGAAAGACTATCTAGGCATATACTTCACACTCTCTCCCACCAATATTTTTAAGATATCTCTTTGTCTCTGTGATCTCCACTAGAGATGGAAAAGGCTCCTGAAAGTTACATTCTAATTCTTCAAAAATCCCCCTTCACCCCGACACATGAAATCTGTAAGTTCTCCAGCCTCCTTCCCCCAGACCCACAGAGTAATTTCAAAACATTTTGGAAAAATAAACAACTTAGGCAAGCATTATCATTTCACACTAAGAGAAGATGATTTTTTTCCCTTTAAGCATTACATAGTAACTCAAACATGAAATTATTTTCTGAGTTCACATTTTCCCAATTATGGGTTCAAAACCTATCTTCCTTGATAAAAGAATGGCATTTTATCTCCAGATAAATTAAATATCCAATTTCAAAAACACAGAGAGTGACCGTATCTTGCTGAGTTATTTTTGTTAGTATAGGTGCGTCGATTTTGAGCTGGTGAAACAATGTCACCAAACCAGTGGATGGTGTCAATGAGCAGGGAAAGACTGGAGGTGTTCCTGGAGTGGCTCAGCCTTTGGCCTTTTTTATTCAACGTTTTTATCCACAGCTTGGATGAAGATGCAAAAATCATGCTTGTCAAATCTGTGGTTGACACCATGTTGGGAGGCAGCGCTAACATTCTGGATAGTAGAATCAGGTTTTACTTGAGCCAACTGTGTGATGTGGCCTCCAAAAATGCTAACATAAATCTAGGTTGTTGTAGGAGAAGTGCAATGTCCAGATTAAGGGAAGTAATTATTCCACTGTCAAGCTCATCAGACTGACCACATTTGGCCACTACGTTTTAAGGCGGAAACTGACAAATAGGAGGGAATGAAAGCAATGGGGGCATCCAAAATGCATCACAGGAAGAACGGTAGAAGAACCAGGGAATATTTAGTCTAAAGAGAGGGAGACTTAGAGGTCATGCTAACTGATTTCAAATATTTGTGGGATTAGACATAGTCTATGTTGCTCCAGAAGGCATAATTTCAAAAAATGGGATCATAATGATAAAAGCCAACAATAACTACAACTTGAGTACCTTTTGAAGCAGCCATCATGGTAGATGTTTTATAAACTGCACCTCTAGTCCTCATAATGACTGGACAAGGTAGGCATTATTGTCCTAATTTTAAGACGAGAAAGAGTGAAACCCCACACCATCATTAATACCATTCCATTCACCTCTGGCCACACTCACTCCTTCTGGACTGATGCTTTAAAAATAGAAATTTGACCTTCCGTTGACATAAATTTACCAATATGGAGGGATATCCAAAGACAAAACAAGTTGCCTTTATTATAAAGTACCGAGCTTCCTAACATTGGATTTAAGCCAGTAGGGACTAGTGGCCATCTGATGAGGATGTCACCAAAAGGATTAGTGCATCAGGAGGGAGATGGAACTGGATGACCTCAGAGGTCTCCTCTACTGCTAAGATTCTCTCATTTGTAATACATGGTTCATACTTTGGCTCAAACACTTCCAAGTGATTAGTAATGTGTGATAACGCTAAAAATATACTGGCTTAGGAGTTAG